TGCAGGCAATACATTCGTGCACATAAAACAAAATATATACGTTTTCTTAGTTCTTTCCCTCTCTGTTCTGCAGACATTTGTCCTAAGTAATGACACAGCTTGGGTGTGTGCAGACATGGTACTAAGCTTCTCTCACTATTTAAAAATGTATGTGTCTGTATGTGAGGGTCTGTTACATACATGCAGCGTCCACTGAGGCCAGAAGAGGGGGCGTCGGCTCCTCCGGGGCAGGAGTCACAGGCAGTTGTGAGCTGCCCGACGTGGGTGCTGGGACTGAGCTCCTTCATTGGTCCAGTGTTCCTTTTCCCCCGTCCGATCGATAAGTCCCAGTTTTCATTTCAATACAGAAACATGTGACTGAGGGGGCTGGAGAGATGGGTCATCAGTTAGGAACACCGGCTGCTCTTGCAGAGGACCCGGGTTCAATTCACAGCACCCATGCGGCAGCTAACAACCGTCTATGACTCCAGCTCCAGGGGATCCAAATGTGTCTTCTGACGTCTTGGGGCATTGCATGACACGGGTGCAGTTACACACATGCAGGCAATGCAGTCATATGCATTAAATTAAATAAATAAATACTCTGTCCTTTCAATGTCATTTATTCCTTTTCAAGTAAACTCATTTCCCCAAAGTATAATAAATTAATTAATTAATTAATAAGTAAAATTATTCTTCCCCAAAGACGAACAGAAAATTCAACGCACTGAGAACCTGCAGGTCATAAATGAATTGAACATGCCATCAATGGCCATTCATGATCTCAGACGCGGTCTGGGGGCTTGCGTTGTGAACTTTCCTCCCAACTTGTCAAATCCACAGATTCACAGAGAAGCGTATTGAACACTAACCGGCAGGACTCAAACCAGATTCTGTGTTTGCTCTGTCAGAGGCGCTCTGTTTACCTGTGGGTCCCAGTTACAGAAATCCACAGGCCTTTATGGGGCTTTTAAAGTCATTTCTTTAAGGGGCACGGACTACATGACCTTCAACGCAAATGTCTACATGCAGGGAAGCTGCTGCAGGAGATTCCTTTCACATGCAAATGGTTAGTGTGTTTACCAACACACACGTGTGGACAACGCTTAAGACATCCTCAGCTGCTTCATTTGCTGCTTGAACCAGTAGGAAGGTTAACAGAAGCTGCACCCTGTGACTAACATCTCCTTCTGGCCCACCTGTGCTCACATTTTAGACGTGTAGACGTGTCCTCTCTGCCACGGTGAGGACACAGGAGGCCTTGTTCATCCTGATGTATTTCCACACCAAGGCCTTGTTTACTTGAAATTCTAACCCCCCTCAACCGGTGTGCAGTCCCTTCCCTCCAGGGGGATCCTGGGGAAAGTCTGGCTTCCTCCCGCTCTCCATCTGCATCCTTCGCACAGATGCCAAGCACGCAGCCAATCAAATGCCAATAAAATTATCCTAAACTTGCACCTGAGGCCATTTCTAATTTCTCATGCTAATGAGGCTTAGAAGCCAAGAGTGGCTTCCAACCAAGTCACAGCAGGCACTAATCTCATTGGGGATGGAAATGTATTTCTATTCCCTCCTGCGCCACCATCACTGTGGTATATTTTAACCCGGGTTTGGCCTGACGTTAAATATTCTGTCCTCTCCGTTCCGTCCCAAATGTCTCTAGGAATGCCCGTTCACTCACAAGTGATTTTTTTCCTGACTAAAATATAAATAATGGTTATAGAATAGGAATGCACCAATATACCCTTCAAGCTGAAGTAGGTTTCTCTGTTGAGCAGATTTCCCCCCAATTCCCAGCATCTCTTAAGGTCAGAGACGAACATTTTTCCATTTTCCCATAAACCCTTTCCGATGCCTTTATCATTCACCCTGTCTGCACACGCGTGTGCTGCATAAGTGTGAACGCCCCGCTTGCTTTACTTACTGGCCGTGTATGTGCTTGTTTGCTTTGCTGTAAGATTTTTAAAAACAAGCATTTGGTCATTTCACGGACACGTGTATACACACCACTCCTCCCATCGGGCAGGATTTATTTTTTTTAATATCTAATAATTCTGTTGCTTTTGAATAATTACCCATTTTAGATCATATACTGAGAAGTTTTATATTGACTTTTCATAGTGTCATGCTGAGCTTTCATAGGTTTGATTTTTTTCTCGCAACACACTTCATATTTTATTTTGTAACGTGATGTCTTAGTCTCTCTAGGGACCTGCTTGAATCAATTACAAATAGTAGTTTTATATCTTATAACCACTGTGGACCTTTTTAATAAAAATATGCTCATATTCTTTATTCCTTTAGCTTTTTCAGACTTTTTGATTCTTTGATACTGTCATGCAATGTACTTTGGTCATAGGCAGAAAACCCCGGCCGTTTCCTCCACCTACACCCCTGCCTTCCCAGCAAGACTCAACTCCTGTTCCCTAATTTTTTTTTATTCTTAATTTTGCCTATTGAGTCTAATTTCTGTCATCCAAATGCTCTTTACGGGGGGGGGGGGAGCCGATTGAGTCTAAATTTGGTCGTCAGAATGGTCTGTTCGGGGGGGGGGGGTCAGTTTCCTGGAGATTGGTCAACGTAAGGACATCGCACCCTTAATGAAACTGAGGCCTGCTATAAGTTCATTTTTGTTTAAGATTCTTTTCAAAGCTGATAATCTTGAATAAACAAAGCTTACGATTCAAATTCTAAGTGATTATCCATTCCTAAATATTTTCAGAAATCATGAGACACGAGACACGTGCGTGTTGTAAGGTGTGTTTAACGTTCATCAAGCTCCCACGTGTAACTACCAAACGCAGTCTGGTCTGTTCTTATATGTGAGCGTTTCCTGCACTCGGATGTGAAGAGTAACCAGGGTGTCTGTCTCCACACGTTACTGAGCTGTGCAGACTTGTTTCTGCTGGAACTATGAAATAAATCATCTTCAACCATCCTGTCTAAGGGAGACAAGAGTCCCTTTTGCATAGTTTGCACACTGTGAATAAATATTGATTCTAAATACTGCACATCGTCCTTTTACTAAGATGGAACAAATCATGTGTCAGGGCAAAAATGCTGCTTGTCAAAACAAGAACGTCAAGCGTGTCCTGTGCTGCCAAAACGTTCCATAAGCTTAACTGGTCTATCTGTTGGAGGGTCCACATTTCCAGTCTCACTGATCAACTGGTTTCTATCGCCTTAAATGATGCTAAATAGGTGTGCGGAGTGCCTGGTGTGTTAATGAGATAGCGAGTTTTTCCTGCCTGGAACTACT